TTAATACGGCCACTTGAACTTGATTTTCGTTGCGATGACGACAGTAATTCACGTATAAGGGAAATATTCAACAGGAAACGTACATTATTCAAAAGTTGCTAGCAGAATTTATTGCTATATTTAGTGTATTATACTAGTATTTAGCTGCGCTAAAGCTATCATCGCCATGCTGGCAAGATACATGATTTTAAGGTAGAAGCCTAGTCATAATTTTTGACAAAATTGGTCATAAATCGCATGACAATGTCTTAGTTTATTATGTACAATCATGAAGCTAATGTCCCATGGTATAATGAAATACATTATTTTGTGTGTTACAGTTATGCTTTTTGAGAAACGTGTCCTAATATTTCTTAAAAATTGTTATTTTTAGAACAATTCCATAGAACAAAATGTTAAAAGAAAATTGCATTTTTTGACACTTTTTAAAATCCAGATTTTTTAAATAATTCAGAACAACAAAACAATATATGATTTTTTCAGCCTGTGTCACCGGGCTAGATTGTGAGATATTGCATAATATCTCTGTCATAGGAACCTGTGGTAAAAGTGTTATAATAGTGTCAAAATGGCGACTTTCCACTAAAATACAACCATCCATTTCTCGAAAAAAAGGCTGGTGACCCCCAACTTTTTTTTAGTTCAATATCCTTATATTGCCTTGGAGTACAATTTATTGCAAAACGAATAAATAAATAAATAAATTTATGAGTAGGCTTTTACCTTAAGCCGATTTATTGTACGATTTTGTTTAAATTGTATTTTTTTCATTTGTAGATGTTTATATTGCAATTATTGATATTGAAAAAATATGCTGATATATAACAGGCTTAATTATCATTCATAACAGCCACTAGCAAATCATATGCAAATCCCTTTACTCTCGAAAGTTGGGCGAATAAAAAACTCTCCTTTTTGTTATTAATTTGTACAGAAACAGCGAGAAATGCCAGAACCATCTCAAATATTTAGTCCTTGCTTTGCACATTGTATGGGCATGGCGTTATTGCAGCAATAGAGACATTAAGATGCGCATACGAGAACGGAACGAGAAATTATACGTCACTGCTTTGTGCATGACATCCGCGCGAACCGATGACGTCATCGGTTGCCTGGTCGTACGGCAGTCGTTTTGAACGTGATCAAGGTGACTGACTCGTAGTTGATTTCCGAGAGCTTTTCTTGCTGTCAATTTTGATTAATTTTTACTGACATTGATAACACGTTTTATATTAGAGTGATTTTGTATATTTATGATAAAATAAGAAACATTGGATGCATTTTAGCTGATATTTATATACTTTCTGAAAACGCATGATATTGTTCTGCTGAAAGAGGTCGGCAAACAGGCTTGGGACCTCAGCTGAGTGGATGGAAATAGCGAGAGCTCTGTCAAATGTCTGGGAACTAACTACTAATTCAGATTCCGGACGTTAAATGACATAAATTTTATTGGATAGTTATAGTTGCCCAATGAGAGACGGATTTACATGGTTCTGGTTTCAGTTACGTTCCCGTTGTGGGCGCTTGTACTTAATCGTTTTCTGACACCCGTGAACGTAACGCAAACGAAATTAGAACAACACGTTACGTTCCCGTTACGTACGCAAATCTTAAACTCTCTAATGAAGACTTGTTTACGGAAAGCGAATTTTAGAATGTTTTCATATTACGTCCCTTAGTAACGTGCATTTGGGTCGGAGTCCCGGCCCAGTGGAGCAATCCTCGGGGGCGGAGCTACGTCACAGACGTTCCACGTTGCTAAGACGCGCACCACTGTACCATGCATTTCTATGGGCTCTGTGCGCGCTGCTGTGGAACGCCGGTCGAGCCAGTGAAAATTCGAGAAAACAATACAAACTCAACTTTGAAGTAATCCCGAACAATCAAATTTATATATGTTACACACGTAGGGCTAATCTTGTTGCACTGTTCAGAGGAGTCTCAACAATCATCCCAAAGTACCGTTAAATGCGAGTTTTGGGCCTTTGTTTTCACCGCCGCAGGTTGCCAGGCGGTGAAAATGCCCGGATGTCCGCCCCGAGGATATGGCAATCCTCGGGGCGGAGCTACGTCACAGACGTTCTACGTTGCTAAGACGCGCACCACTGTACCATGTATTTCTACGGGCTTTGGAGCCGGTGAAAACTCGAGAAAACAACACAAACTCAACTTTGAAGTAATCCTGAACAACCAAATCCATATATGTTACACACGTGGGGCTAATCTTGTTACACTGTTCAGGGGACTCTCAACAGCCATCGCAAAGTACCGTTTTCTGTGAGTTTTTGGTCTTTGTTTTCACCGCGAGGGTTGCCAGGCGGTAGAAAATGCCCGGATGTCCACTAATAACTAAACTTTGAAGTAATCCTAAACAATCAAATTTAAATATGTTACATATGTAGAGATAATCTTGTTACACTGTTCAGGGGGGGTGGGTGGGTGGAGTGGTGTCAACAACCATCCCAAAATACTGTTTTCTGAGAATTCATTGGCATTTGTTTTCACCATGATGGTTGCCAGGCGGTGAAAATGCCTAACCCGAGAATAAACGCGTACAGTGGAAACTGTGTTGGCTTGGATGTCGAGGCAACAAAGCTACGATATCCATACATCATGCAACTCACTGATATTCAGACCAAAGCTATTCAAGCTATAGCTATACTTAGTGCCGAGTCTGATGTGTTCGTTTTTAGTCGCACTGGAAATAGTAAATTCTTATTTTGTTATGCTTTACCGGCCTTGCGACCATGGAGCGTGGTAATAGTGTTATTAGAAGAGTAGGTGTTATACCTCAGAGCTCATGATGTCACTGCAACATATATCGACAGAAATGAAGCCGAATACATCATAAAATGCAAATCCAAGCGCTTTCCGGCAGTCATTGTGTAAGAAAGCTTTCTATATACTTTCTATCGCGCAACCACGTGACATACACGATTATGAATATAATTACCGCACGGGGTTGTAGTAAGGAAGGAATGTCCGAACGGAACAACACCGTGTAGGCGGACAATGGTGCTGGGACAGCGCTTCCTGTGACGATACAACGACCTGCGTCCTACCACTCTCACTTGCAGAGTCTTCTTGACCTAGGGAGCCACAGAGAGCTGCAACTAGACTCTGCCACAGGCGACATTTTACACAAAAATTGTTGGTATTCCACGTATTTTTTTAATTCATTTGTTTCTAAGCTTTTGTTGAAAAAAAAGTTTGTTATTTAAAATAAATATGTCAAATATGTTTACATTCAGTGCTAAAATCTTTTCAAAATCTTAAAATAATGACAAAGTAGATCGTGCGGTAGGAGACGTATGTGAATCGTCAGTTCAAATCGTATGTGCGTTCGCGTCGTTGCCTCGGGTGACGCGGGCGCCTCGCGCCTGCTCAGTTTTCGTTCGCCTGCTATATCACAACTGGGCGATGTTAGGAAAAAGATAGCGAACTAGGAAATCGATAAGTACAAACGTGTTTAGGTAATTTTCTCAAACATAAATTTTATACAGTTTATACGATTTTCGCTTGCATAGCAACAGACCAATACATCTACTTTCTGCCACGTCGTTTGGGGAACCCCCACGGAGCGACGCGAACACATTCATGGCAAAGCAAAATGTAGGTCCGGTCATTAATATTTAAATTAGCCTGTGGCAGAGACTAGTGGGACGTTCCCTGGCGACTACCTAGCTTAGTGACCCATAGTCTCTGTGACGGAGAATGGCGTCCTACC